TTTATGCAAAGAAGGAATGAAAATAATAGTTTAGACAAATTTTGATGGAAAAATAAAACGCGGAACGCAGCAGGTCTTGATGAGTCCACATTTATTTGTGGAAAAATAATTAAGTATCTCATTTTGAAGTAATAAAACAACATTAAAGTGAGTACGGAAGAGGATTAGTGCCACAGTGCAATAAAAAAATCGACGTATTTTTCTCAAAATTTAAAGTCATAAATCTGAAAATGCAACTCTATAATCCTCTTCCATATAATTGTAATTTATTGAACCTTTTAAATGATAAGCAAATGCTTTTATTTACTTTGACTTTTATTACTATTTTTTTATTCCCGCAGTTATCAAATGTTTGTTTGAAGCAGACTGTCTTAAAGGTATTCCCAAGATCCCAACTGGACTGTGAATAAATGAAGTATCTTAATTTAATCCATGTATTAGTAGCTTTATTTACACATTTGTAGAAAATTAACAGGAAAATTGCTAAAACTAGTCTCTTCTGTTGTCGGTATTAAAACCAATAAAAGTTAGTTTCATGCTGTTTTAGTCAAAGCTTCAAGGAGCCGCTGCAGAGAGACCAAAGGGCCGCTTGTGGTCCCAGAGCCGCAGGTTGCAGACCCCTGATCCGGATAGTTTATTTGTTGTTGTTGTTATTGTTGTTGTTGAGATCATCTTCTCACCCACAAACTGGTTGGTCCACTATGTGAGTGGGCTGTTTGTGGGACTCGGTTTGTTGTGGCTCCTCGGACTGATGAAGTCCTTTGGATGAAGGACGAAATATCTCAACAACAAAAAAAGAAACCATCCAGATGACCTGACTGAACTTGGTTAAATTTTCTACCTGGATACAATCATGAACATTGACCAGGTTTTTCACACATTGATTTCAACAGCTAACCTTTACTTCTTGCATCTCTAAAGCAGAGGTGCAGTCAGGTCGGTTTTGTTCAACGTCTGGATAGAAATGGGGGACTGTGAAGAAATATGGCTCATCTCTGAACTAACCACTGGATCAAAACCTTTGGACCCAAAATATCCTGATGCATGCTCAATAATCCAGGTAGGAAAATCCAAATCCACAAACAAGGTGTACCTTTAAGACCAATTGTTAGCATGATTAACTCTGTCACTTACAATGTTTCCAAATATCTGGCGTCTGTACTCATCCCTTTAGTTGGCAGCTCAGAACACCACATACAGAACACCATGGACTTTGTGGACAAGGT